AGGCATTCGTAGAATTTGACAACCAGGAGTTCACTCCTAGTGCAATAAAAAAAAAAGAAAAGTTGTTCAAGTCAATATATTCTCTCCTTTATTAATTAGCTTCCAATTTGCAATTTGGAGCTAAACGCACGGCAACCGCTAATCATCCAGAAGGTGTTTATTCTCTGGTAGACGCTCAGAAGACAAAAGGCAGTATCCGCTACGACCCCGCGCCCTCAAGGAGCCTGGAAACCGGTTACAGGAAGTAAACGTTGTCCGCAGGAGGGAACAAAACCGTATACAACACGTTCCAAATGCGTTGAGGGACAGGGAGCAAAAAGCCAATTCTGCTCTGCTTCTGTCCACGAGGGGACACTGAGCGGGGACCGGAGGCATTTCTGGTGGTCACAATTGGGACTTGGAAGAGGTGCCTGGCAGCTACCATGTGGAGGCCAGGGTCGCTGCTCAATACCTTTAAGTGCACAGAAGAAACATCAGTCCAACGTGAGAGGCTACGTGCTTCCGCAGGAGGTGAGATTAAGGGAAAGAAGGCTGCTCTATGAATCAACGGAAACCAAACAGGATGAACTTGAGCAGAGGTATAAGAATTATGAAACAGAACCAATCTAGCAGCCTTCCGTGCTAAATATTTATCCATAGCAGTCACCATATTGTAGGATACTGTGCATTTTATGGTGTGTGTCTGGTTTTTATGGCCTCCTCACCGGAATAAAAAGGGAACGTGCTCGGGAATTTTTGTCTTTTTTCTGCACTAGCCTATTCCCAGTGCCATGTGGAAAACCTTAGGATTTTAGTAGACATTTACTGAATGAAAGAAACAATGAACGAATGAAAACCACGATTTTTTTTGAATGTTCATTCATTTTTTGAGACAAAGAGAGAGACAGACTGTGAGCAGGCAAGGGGTAGAGAGAGAGGGAGACACGGAATCCAAAGCAGGCTCCAGGCTCTGAGCTGTCAGCACAGAGCCCGACGTGGGGCTCGAACCCACGAACCGTGAGATCATGACCTGAGCCGAAGTGGGACGCTGAACTGACTAAGCCACCCAGGTGCCCCTGAACGAAATCCACTATTGTATTTTCCGTGGCAAAGCTATCTTTGTAAGGGCGTGGAAAAGTGTCTTACCACTTACACTTTACACAAACAAGTCTCTTTCTCCCCCTCTCATTTTTGTAAAATTTAAATTTAGGGATGCCTACAACACCTTGTGAATTGTGCTTGCCAACTCACAGCTGAAGGATTGCTTATCAATGTTTTGTGGATACTTATGAAGGGTCTGCATTGCAGTTTGGTTAATGCTGGTCTTCCCCCGATATATGCATCAACTGCTCACAGATTTACATTTCCAAGCCTGCAGTATCAGGATGAAATCCCCAATTACGGTAAACGTGGTGGAAAGGAACCCGTATTTGTAGACCCTCAGATGCTTGTCTATTCTGGGTGCACCCTGCCCATTCTTACATCCAGGAATCAGGTCGGTGCAATGGTTACACAATCTTGACAGGTACGGAAGGCTCTGGCCTGGGGGGACGGGGGGTGATGGCACTGGGCTCGAGACATGCCAGGAGGTCATTATACAGAGCGGTGGATGTGTGAAAGTGAGGACAAAGTTTTCAGACACGTAAATGGTACAAGAGACACAAAGAATGTGCAGGCTTCCCTCTTTGCGGTGAGTTTTATGAGTAACATGGAGTCTTTTCCTTTGAAAGTCTTGGTGGCAATTTCAAGGGGGAATGTGCTGTGGATATGGATAGGAGGATGGGAATGAAAACTGAGTGCAAATATCAGCACAAGAGGTGGGAAGTGAAGCACCATCACCTTCCAGGTAGGCGCTGAATGTCTACCGGCAAAGGAGCTCCAAAGACGGATGAGGAAATGTAGACAAGTAGACAAAGTGAATCAGTAAGGAAAAGATTTTCCTCAAAGAACATCCCAGGCCCAGATGGCTTCCCTGCTGAATCCTACCAATTGTTTAAAGGGGAATTAACACCCATCCTTCACACTCTCTTTACAGAAATGAACTGCAGGGGACACTTCCCACTCGTTCAGTGAGGAGAATGGAACCCTGATACCAAAAGCTGATGAAGGCATCACCAGAAAACAGACCTACGGATTCATCTTTCTTATGAATATGGATGTAAAAGCCCTCAAAAAAAAAAAAAGCCAGGAAACCGAATCCAGAGACATATAAAAAGGATTATACACTATGACCAAGTGGGATTTATTCCAGGATGCAGGTTGGGTTTAATATTCAAAAGTCAAGAGTCGGACGCTCAACCGACTGAGCCACCCAGGCTCCCCTAAAAGTTTTTTTATTTTAGTAACATATTCTGAATACATATTTCTTATCAGATACAGGATTTGCAATACTCTTGATTTTGGCTCAGGTCGTGATCTCATGGTCCGTGAGTTTGAGCCCCACGTTGGGCTCTGTGCTGACAGCGTGGAGCCTGCTTGGGATTCTCTCTCTCTCTCTCTCTCTCTCTCTCTCTCTCTCTCTGCCCATTCGCCACTCATGCTATCTCTGTCTCTCTCAAAAATGAATAAACAAACTTAAAGAAAAAACTTTTAACAACTCAATAAAAGCTGAGTCCCCCAATAAAAATGGGCAAAGGATCGACATTTCTCCAAGGAAGAGATATGGCCCATAAGCACATGAGATGATGTTCAACATCATTACCATTCAGGGAAATGCATATCAAATATGGTACCTCTTTGCACCCACTAGGATGGCTCTACTAAAAAGACAGATGTGAATGAGTGTTGGTGAGACTACGTCCTTTATGCTGGTACCAATGCAGCCCCTTTTGGAAAGAAAGTGGAAGTTCCTCATATCGTTTAACCGAGTATCATATGGACCAGGTATCATACTACTAGGTATACACACAAGAGAAACGCTTACGTAGAATCCCACAAAAACTTGTACATCAGTATCTAAGGCACCTTTATGCATAATATCCAAAAAGGGGAGACAACCAAAATGCTCACCAAAAGATGACTGAATAAACCAAGTGCATCATATTAATACAATGGACCACTATTTGAAATTTTTTTGATGTTCATTTATGTTAGAGATAGAGAGAGACAGAGTGTGAGCAGGGGAGGGGCAGAGAGAGAGGGAGACACAGAATCTGAAGCAGCCTCCAGGCTCTGAGCTGTCAACACTGAGCCCAACGCGGGGCTCGAACTCACGGACCGTGAGATCATGACCTGAGCTGAAGTCGGACACTTAACTGACTGAACCACCAGGAGCCCTAATTTTTGTCCCCTTTCTTAGAAAAAAAAGCCTTTACAACCATTTTTCTCTTAAAATAGAACATTTCACCACATTATAGGTAAAGGGGAAAAATGAGGTCTTAAAAAAATGATCGAGTTTAACACAAAATACACATAAACTGGACAAATCTTTAAGTGTGAAATTCAGTAATATTTTATGGATGAATATACCTATGTTACTATCACTCTGTTCTGATGAAATATGTTTAGCGCATTGAAAAAGCGGAGAAAGCAGAGACAACATAGCATTCGCTCAGGATGCTTTCAGATGTGACATCCATGCATGGTTTTTAATAAAGAAGTTCTCCAGAAAACCATGAGTCATATTTCTAGAGGACTTTCATATAGGTAGATGCTTGGGAGGGACAGAGATAGCAGTGAGGGGAAAGGATATTCAGAGGTTCAGAAACGAATGGAAAACAGGCACTCCAGTGGGGTGTCTTCTGTGTGTTCAGAAAGCAGAGGATGGAATAAAAGAATATTTATATATAGGGGGTGCCTGGGTGGCTTACTTAGTCAGTTAAGCATCCGACTTCAGCTCAGGTCATGATCTCACGGTGGGTGGGTTCGAGCCCCGTGTCGGGCTCTGTGCTGACAGCTCAGAGCCTGGAGCCTGTGTCTCCCTCTCTCTCTGCCTGTCCCCTGCTTGCGCTCTGTCTCTCTCTCAAAAATAAACATACGTTAAAAAAATTTAAATAAAATATTTATATATAAATAGGGCATATTATTATACACATATATACACATACCTGTATACAGTATGTGTATATATATGTGTGTGTATGCGTGTGTGTATGTGTCTGTATATGGGGCACATCATTAATAAAAAAGAGGAATAGAGTCATCTAAACCATTATCAGGGTATTTTAGTAAAGAGTCAGGGTCATTCTGAATGATAGAAATTGTTACTCAATCCAAACTGGAAATATTTCCTCTTTCGAAAACTGTCCTCTCACTTCTGGTACAACTCTTAGTTACACTGGGTAGAATTGATGATGTTTTTCTAGGAGGCCAGGTCATACCTCTGTCTATACCAAAATGTGTGTCTTTTTTTTTTAAGTTTATTTATTTATATTTGAGGGACAGAGACAGAGAGCAAGGGAGGGGCAGATGGAAAGGGAGAGACAGAGAATCATAAGCAGGCTCTACACTACCAGCAGAGCCCAACATGGGGCTTGAACACACAACCCGTGAGATCATGACCTGAGCTGAAATCAACAGTCAGACGCTTAACCTCATGAGCCACCCAGGTGCCCTCAAAATGTATTTCTTTTTTGAAAAATGTTTAACATTTTTATTCATTTTTCAGAGGCAGAGTACAAGTGAGGGAGGGACAGAGAGAGAGGGAGACACAGAATCCAAAGCAGGCTCCAAGCTTTGAGCTGTCAGCACAGAGGCCGATCATGGGGCTCAAATCCACGAACCATGAGATCATGACACTTGACCCACTGAGCCCCCAGGCACCCTAAAATGCACTTCTTTATAATGCATTTATGCTACCCACCTGTTCATGACTGTTTCACAGGACATTTCACAAGACACAGCCTTCCCTCCGTAATATCTGAACCTATAATAAAAGCTGTAGTACTGAACGCAATGAATATAGTTCATCCAGTGTCATATTATTAACAGAATCACCAGAGCCTTGCGACTGATTTACCTGCATAAAGATTTTAGCTCATCCATATCTAATGGCCAAAGGATGGTTCCATGCAGTGTTCTAGAATATTTCTGATTCTTTTATACTGGGAAATGCACACTTCATTCAAAAAGCTATTGTGTTTTTTTTTTTTTTTAAATAAAAGATACACTGTCCTAAGCATTAGGCTCAACATACCTAAGCAACATGTTCCAATGTAATTTTATTTGAGAAATACATTTACATTGTTAAATCTACAAGACCGCTGCAGTATCTGAGTGAGATTTTTCTTCCCGAGAAATTGACTTTGAATCTGCACCTTGCATCTGCTAGGGTCATTTTCACAAAGCCAGTGACTTCTTGACATGTGATTGGGAAAAAATAGGAAGGTATCTTCAAGAATAGGGCACCCCGGGGTATCCCTGCTGCGGGCTAGGTATAGATGCGTACATTCCTTCCATACTTGTTGTAAAGGAGGTGTTCAGGCAAAAGGCAGAATAAACAAAAAGTGGTCTGCAGGCCAGATTCTTTTGGTCATGAAGCGTTTCCGCCTTAGGGGTCTTTATTTTTTTAAAAAAAAATTTTTTTTTAACGTTTATTTATTTTTGGGACAGAGAGAGAGAGCATGAACGGGGGAGGGGCAGAGAGAGAGGGAGACACAGAATCCGAAACAGGCTCCAGGCTCTGAGCCATCAGCCCAGAGCCCGACGCGGGGCTCAAACTCACGGACCGCGAGATCGTGACCTGGCTGAAGTCGGACGCTTAACCGACTGCGCCACCCAGGCGCCCCAACCTTAGGGGTCTTTAAATGTCCCCCTCAGGTTGCCTTTGGGAGATTTTTCCATTATGTGACTTGGAAGGACTAACTTCCTTGAATACACGAAGGGAAGGAAGTCAAGATACAGAAGAACTATGGAGGTATTTATCTTGTTAGGGATTGTTTAAAACCCATTTCTCTGACACAATCATCAGCAGGATCTGAATTCCCAGCCATGTCCAATCAAGCTAATGCATTCTGACCCTCAGGTTCAACGCTTCTCCTTGGAAAAGTTCCTACCTTTCTCCTGTACCCAAATGCCCATCACTGCTTTCCTTGTCAGTAGAAGGATGCCTGTGTCCCTCTTCCCAATAAAGACAGCAGCCACTTTACCTAAAACAACTGAAAAGAGTCAACCGTTCATGTTCATACGCTGGGTGAAATGACAAATTAAGAAAACCTGCAAAAGGAAGAATGTGTCTTCTTTTTGACTTAAAAATCAGAAAAGGACTCTGTTCTGAATGCAAACATTCCAAGGAAGGGACAGTTTTCAAGGGTTACCCCATGCAATTGTTAACTCAAGCTTACACAGTCCTCTGCAATCAGTTAAGCAGCAATTATTGTATTTACTTAATAGGTTCTTCAATCAAGTGTGTCCTAACACCTTGATTTCCAAGAATGGCGATGCACACGGATATAAAATTCCATCTTCCTTGAGGAAATCCTGAATCATTCTTAAAGGATCAAGTATATTCTCCGTAGAGTGGCACGGACTGGTCATAGTTAGGCTCATTTGAGATTAAAAGTGAAAAGTCTTTGGTTCTGATTTCTCTCAACCATGGTTTTCTTCACCCCTCAAAAAATCCGTTCATATCCTTGGGTGTCTACACTTGCCACAGACGTCTTATTCTTCCATGGACCCAGCAGCTTGCAACAGAAGGGACCTGTCTCCCTTGTTCATACTCATCCTCCTGGTTACAAAGTCTCCACCCCACGGCAATGCCTTCCAGATCTGCTCCCAGGGCCCTCTGAAGTCCCAAACCCAGAACTGTATTCTTAACATGATGCCTCTAACTTATTTGCTGAATGCACCAAATCAATGCAGTGGGCATTTTCAGCCACCTGAAAGGCAGGCAGAAGAGGAAAGTCCAAGCCAATGGTCACCAAGGGCAGAACAGGGCCATGAACTTGTCTACTCCCAGAGTTCAAGTTCCACACCAGCAATAACAAAGACCCGATTATGGTGTTTCCAAGTGGGTTATTAGGTGCATCGAAACCTACTGATGAAGACAACAGAAGGTGATGTATTTTTTTTCGGGGGAGGGAGGACATTTCTTGATTTTTCTATTTTGCATAAATTTTGGCACAGAGAAGAGGCAAGGCCAACCCTGCTTTGAGCAATGTACGCATCCTACGATTGTGTTATCTGCAGTATACACATCCGTCCACATCCCAGCCCATCTTAGAGAGTCACATGGGCAAGCAGTGCAGCAGGGAGACCCAGAGCTTGTTCCTTTCTACCACCGACTTTCAATAACCTGGTTTTGAGTGGTCCCACATAATTCCTCTCACCTCCAGATCCCATTTCTCGCCATTTTCTCCCATATTCCTTTACTTCTCCAATTTTATGTATATTTCTCTAAATGCAACACCTCACTTTTCCTCTCGATGCCCTGAACTTTTCACCGCATTTTTAAAAAATGTTTATTTTTGAGAGAAAGAGAGAGACAGGGTGTGAGCGGGAGGGGGCAGAGAGAGAGAATGAGACACAGAATCCGAAGCAGGCTCCAGGCTCCGCGCTGTCAGCACAGAGCCCGACGCGGGGCTTGAACTCACGCGAGATCACACGAGATCTCGCGAGATCATGACCTGAGCCGAAGTCTGACGCTCAACCGACTGAGCCACCCAGGCGCCCCTATGATTTTGTTTTCATGTGTATTTGTTTTTGAGGGAAACAGAGAGCAAGCACGAGCAGGGGAGGGGCAGAGAGAGAGGGAGACACAGAATGCGAAGCAGGCTCCAGGCTCCGAGCTGTCGGCACAGAGCCCCGCGCGGGGCTCGAACTCACACGAGATCACACGAGATCTCGCGAGATCATGACGTGAGCCAAAGTCGGACGTCCAACCAACCGACCCACCCAGGTGTCCCTATGTGGCATTTAAAATGCGGCTTAGCAATGCATGGTTTCTAAGACACAGAATGGCAACACTTCCAGTGGGAAATCAAATCAGGGCAAACCCATAAAGAGGGAGAATATAACGCGAGTTAGGAGGGCAGCAGCAAGACGAGGAGATCCTCAAAGTGGGCCAGATTATTGTTTCCCTTTATAGATAACGTGTATGAACTTTTGACTTGATCTTAAGATGGGTTCCATTTGTAATTTAAAACAAAATGCTTAAGGGACGCCTGGGTGGCTCAGTCGGTTAGGCATCCGACTCTGGATTTCAGCTCAGGTCATGATCTCACAGTCCGTGAGATCGAGGCCAGCAGTGCGCTCTGTGCTGACAGCACAGAGCCTACTTGGGATCCTCTCTCTTCCCCTGCTCCACCACCACCTGTCTCAAAATAAATAGACTTTAAAAAATTAAAATAAAAAGCAAACCAAAATCCTTAGTAAGAGAGAAAAACAAACCAAAGACAACAGAGTGTCTAAGAAAAAAAAAAAAAAATAAAACAGTGACATTAGCAAACAGCAACCAATAAACTCCCAAAAAAAGGAGATGTATTCTAGGTACAGCAGCTTAACATTTTCAGCAGAGGTGTCTAAGGCGTATTATAGGGACCCACCAAATTACCATGGATGTAAAATGCTCGTGCACAATGCACACAATATGTAATTCATACCATCGCTCTTTACAGGAATGTATCAATCCTTTGCCCCAGTGATTCCCAGGCTCCTTTTATGGAGTGGAATCAGACATAGAACACCAACGTATCAAATGGATGATGGCGAGAGTCCTCTGGCTGATGTCAAAGAGCTGCCTACAAATGCCACCCACCTACCCCGCATTTCAGCTGGAAATCGAGACCCCACAAAGGAGACGAGAACCATGAAGGCGGACACACCGTCATAGCAGGCATATGGCTCAAATCCTGTGAATTTTATTGATTTATTTTAATGTTTATTTACTGTTTTGAGAGAGGGAGAGACAGAGTGTGAGCAGGGGAGGGGAAGAGAGGGAGGGAAACACAGAATCTGCAGCAGGCTCCAGGCTCCAGGCTCCGAGCTGTCAGCACAGAGCCCGACGCAGGGCTTGAACTCTCGAACCGCGAGATCCTGACCTGAGCCACACTTGAGTGCCAGCAACTGAGCCACCCAGGCACCCCAAAGCGTGTGAATATTTGCTCTGCAAGTACACCGCCTTGACTTCAAACCATTTCTGTGTTATATTCAAAGCCATGATGTCACTGCGTGTGAATGAACTTACACAATTACTCACCTTAAAGACAACTTCAGGATAACCCCTACGCAACCTTCCCTGAGGCAACAATTTTACACCAGTTACAACACCTGAGAAACAAGCAGGTGTTTCTGATACTTTTTTGAATCCTTGAAAAAGTCAGTTATATAAATCTATGGGCAATGTTTCCTAAGACCGTAGAATACCTGTCAGGCGAGAAATCTGTTGAAGTCACCAACTGGCTTAGTGGCATGGACTCCATTATGGGCAGCACGCAGCAGATAGGCAACGAATGGGCAATACCAATCAATCCCACACCCAACTGGCCCTTATATAAATCATTAGATCTACAGCACCGAAGAGCTTTGCTGTGATCCATCGATGGTGCTGCTGGGGTGAATACCACCCTCACCGTGCACCATGATAACGAACGAGCAATCAAGACCCACTTGGAGGCACCTAACTGTAAGCATCGTAATCATAATTTTGTATCTAGATCAACTAACAAGCACATCTGACTTTTTTTGCGTAATTATAGAAGCTACATCGGTTTCCAAACTCATTCTGCAGTTTACCTGATTCATGCTTAATACAGACAGGAAAGCCTGGAGGTGGGATCTTAGTGGAAAAAGTGCAGAGTTGAGGCTTCTCTCAGCCCTGAGCTGGGAGCCCAGCACTGATCCCCACAAAGGGTATCGCTGGGAGTCAACCCTTCACCCTTCACCTCTACATGTCCTTTTCTTGTAAGTAAAGTAAGCAAACCCATCCAATGGGCGTGGTGAGGATTTAGTGAGCAACGACAGCCATCCATGGCTGGCCAGCCACAGGTTCTCGATGAGTGGGTACTAAAGCATAGAAGTCAGACTGTTGTAAAGCAAAAATAATTTAAAGCATGCATGAGACTTCAAATTGCAGGTAGTGATCCCCAAAAGGGAGTGATACCGTGGGAGGTAAATTCAAATGAATGTTTAAATGGTGGGACAATGAACTAATTCAAGATGTAAAGGCAAAGTGGAGACAATGAATGAGTGAATAGAGAGGTTAAGAGCCACAAATAAATAAATTCCGGGTATTTCCATCAGAAGGCATTCGTCAGGAGCTTCTCTTTTATGTCTAAGGTCTTTGGACGCTTGTCATGAAAAAATAAATAAATAAGAGGCAGATGTGATGGAACTCAAGTCTTGGATATGTATGCCTTCCTAATGACCAAGGTGCAGAGCAGAAGAGGAGATATGGTTATAAAAGAGCATCTTTTTGGAAAATAAATGGAAGACGAGTCCAATGACTAGACTTCATGCAGACATAAATAATGACCTTCCAGTTCTGATGATACGTACCAGTTTGCCAGGCTTCATTCCAGTGTATCAATAGCATATTAACAGCTCTCAACGCATCCTGGACTAGATAACAAGTTATATGGCCAATGGCTGGCAAGACTGTGCCACACAGTCATGAGTAAAGAAAACATCCATATTCCAAAACACAAGTGTCTTCTAATCATTATTTTTTTTTTTAATTAAGGTTCAGGTTAGAGGGCGGCATTTGATACATACTAGTGATTACATTGTTTCGCCAGCTGCGATTACACGTGTAGAGCAACATTGATATTCATATGTTGTCCACAGGTATTAGTGAGAATGGAAATTATAAGGTGATTCGGTGTCCTTGTTGCAACTACTGGGCTATGAGATTTCACACCTAAAGCCTCATGCTGAAATCTGTGTTCGTTCCATGCACGGCCTCCTGTGTATACCGTAATTCCTGTTGTCCAACCCTCCTCCTTTGGGTGGGGAAACAGCATTTATTACTCCATAAAAACAACACTATCAAACAATATTTTTCCAATTTCTTAGACAGAAAAAGAGCACTTATGCACTAATGGCTTCTTTGAAGAGGAAACTCAATATTTCCACGTTTTGCGAAAAACATATCTCTCCGTATCAAAAGCACTAATTAGAACGTTCGTCCCCACGCACGGTTGTGCCGCTTTATCGGATCATCTTTTTAAATATCCGGACGGCAATGGTTTAAAAATATTTCTCAACACCGAAAATAGCCGGCTTCCTGCAAGCTAAAAGGAAGGGTCCCTTAACAGTTTTGAAGAGGGTCGGGAAGAAACGCAAGATCCGTGGTGAAGACAGATAAACTAAGTCGCATTTCAGAATCTCTAGCACTCTGTATAATCGGCCAAGCTGGCACGGTTCACCCCAGCAAATAAAAGGGGGTCTGTGGCCTTCGCAGCGTCTCCACAGTAGCTCATTCGTGCACTGTAAATAGACCGGCACAGAGATGCTAAATTGATTCTTTGATTTCTCTGTCGCCCACTACAGCTCTCTGTTTTGCCACCGCGAGTTCTTTTCTAACTCTCGGGAGCAAAACGTGGACTTAATGTCTTTCAACGGGAAATATTTTAGAAGCAAACTTTTGTCTTTTGCTTAAAAGATCCGTATGTATACATGTATGAATGTGTACATATGTGTGTGCATACGTACATGCATATATAAATATATATACACATTTACATGTGTATATATAGTGTGTGTGTGTGTGTGTGTGTGTGCATAATCCCACAGCATTTCCCAGATCTGCACATAATTTCACAAACATGCCAAACTGATAAGGGGTCACCATGTAAATGGAGCTACATCCCACAGCTGGGCTTCAGAGGGGGAGAAAATCGATTTCCTTTCAAATCTAACGTTTTAAGGAACATCAACGCGTCATGCACCCAAGAGAACATTCTGTTACTCCACGGAAGCAAAAGCTTGTTCAATGGGCACTGCTTCATTCAGAAAACAGAGACCAGGGTTCCGTGCTCGGTCTGATGATGCTACAATGCCCTCTTCGAAAAGACTATATGCACTGTGCTGACACGTTGTATCCTCCCTCCACCTCTATGTCAGAATGGACCTTTTGTAAGAGACCAAGAAACACGATTTCCTGTTTCAAGGACTAGCGGCAGAAGCAACTACCCAGAAACGGCTGAAAAAATGTTCAGAAATGCAGGCACTCATGGGGATGTGATGTTAACTACAATGATTCTACAAGGACCTGGCTCAGAGGACCTATGAAAACAGAAAACGAAATAAAATCATAAAACGAGAGGGTTCTTGAAGCTAATGATTTTTATTTTCTTTCATGTGCAAAAACCAACCGGGAATTTTGAGGACTTTATCAAAGCTCCAAAAGGCTCAACTTTGCAAACATCTGTGGGTGATTTGCATTTGTAAACTACAAATGCATTTCTACCACTCTCCACCCCGCCACCCTCCCAGCTCCAGGGGTCTTTCCTAGGTGAATGTTTTCACATGTAAATGAAACAAAATGCTCAA